GCAATTTTGTTGTTTTTCTGAGTGGTTGTTGTCAGCACGATGCTAAACGCTACATATGGAATCCCGTTAACGCACATGTTTTTATACCCATTCTTAGTGAAATGCATGGGGCTTGCATAAAAGTCAACTTTTGCATGGAATGCATGCTTTTCTGTAGCAGTTGCGTTTTTGTGACTTGATTCCAATCATGTACTACAATATTGAAAACCAAACTTTACTTGTTAGAAAAATACACTGAAATATTGGTGTCACGGGAACTTTTGTTGATGAGTATATATGATGGCGGCCAGTAAATTATGGAGTCAGGATTACACAAACCAGTGATTGACGACACGAGCAGCTAAAAAACAACAACCTTCACATGTTTTCAATCAATTATTAAGAAATGTCAATTTGATTAATCCATAAACTACCCAACCTTATCATTCCACTTGTGAAAGGTTGCATTTCATGATTTAGTAGGTCAAGAGTTAATTGATTTCACAAAACCTGTTCCTGGTAACTGTAGTACTGGTTATATTAACTTCGAACGTAAACTCTTTCCGTTATTATGATGTACAGATTAAAATTTAAAAAAAGCAGCAAAAAGGGTTTAGGTGACCCTGGTACAGTCAGGCTGGTTAGGCTCATCATCAGCTCAGGGTCCTTGTCCCCTCTACACGCAGATCAGACAGCAAATAGGACTTCTCCGTGAAGATCCGGGGTAGAATAGGGCTGTATTCCTGGTAACAAACCCGGTAACTCTCCCAATGTCAGTCAACAGATTGGGAGGTAACAAACCTAAGGCACAGAGAACAACTTGGTACTTAGGATGCAATTTGCTGGACCGATTTGATAAGGCACTTCGCTTGGTTGACACTCATTTCTGTATTGTCCAACGATCAACAAAATCAACAGTGACATTGAGATTGTGTCCTGCATACTTGGCTCGTTTAAGAAAACTGTGGAATGCCTTGTTTTCATCATGAGTCTTGCGATGCTTCACAAGAGGATTCTCAGACAAATAAATGTGTGCAAAAGTGCACAATACAATTCCATCATGAAGAGCCTCTATGTTAGTTAAACAACGCCCTCTCATTTTGATTTGTAAATAAAAGACAATTTAGGGAAGAGCGAGGGATCTATTGTCTCGCATGATTCTTCGTGTGAGGGTGTTAATGTCGTGAATTTCTTGTTTCGTGCAATCAACAACACCACAATTATACGAGAGACCTGGTACAGCCTAAGTATTTGTGGCTTTAACTTTATTGCGAGCGTTCAGCACCAGATTGAAGACTGACCGACTTTCTTTCTTCTACCTTGCCACGTTTCAGATCGAGAATGTTGCATTTGTCGAACCCAAAGGACATGCCAATATCATTAGACTAGACAATTAGAATCTGTTATTTCAGTGGATTCTTCTTTGGCAAGAAGTTCATCTATGTAAAGGATGTGAGTAAGAGGTGTTGGGGATCTGTGGTGCTAGACAAAATCCTGAAAGAAAAGCTAAATGAATCGCCCTGAAATAGTCCTCTTCTAATCGAAATGCCCAAGCGAATACATCTCAAGTTGAGTTGACCAGGAATTCATAAAGAAAATTACACAAGAAGTCGCTCGAAGAAATAAAATGCATGTCAGTGACTTCAAAATCCATTAGAGAGGAAAAGAATTATAAGCTTTAGTGTAGTCTATCCAATATCCAATATCCAAGTTACGGCGGTAAGTTTTAGCCTCTTCAAGGATCATTCTTTGAACCAACAGCAACCCCAACATCCCGTTCTGTCTTCTTTCTGATCCATTAAAATGATATCATTGGAAACAGTACGATGATACCCTGTAAATAATTCATATTGTGTTTTCAGACAAGTAATTGGGCGGAAGATTTTGGGATCAGTCAAATCACAATTCTTTGGAAGAATTAGTGTCCAACCTTTGCACAACCAAGGCAGAACATCACCTGTATCCAAAAGAGAATTTAAGTGTAGTAATGTTTTTGGGATACAAGGAAACAGTATCGACTACTGAATTCGAATACCATCAGGTCCTGTTGCCGTATTAGAGCTGGACTTTAAATTACATTTTTCAAGCATTCGGGTGTAATGAAACACAACAATGGTGACCTTATTTTGCACAATATGTACAATATCATTGTAATGCTCTACCTATGGTTACTCGAGGTTACAGTTGCTGGGTATAGACCACAACTGTTTCAAAAACCTTCCACTGGAATCCATGGTGAGTCTTTTCTCATCACTGCCATTGGTTGTATTTAATTGCCTGTAAAGCTTTTTTTCATTAGAATTGAACAGTTTATTGATTTCAACAGTTTGTTTTATGGTATTATTTATCATGTCTGACATCTTTTTCATTCTGTCCAAACCTTTGACTTTACCTTCAGAGAAGCAAGAATTTTATGCAGAATGTTCTCTTTTATTGACTTGTATTTTGTTTTTCATTTTTTCCTAATTGATTTTTGTCGTTTAGACATTGATTGCCCCTGGGAACGTAATTTCAAACAAAGTTCTATCCAGTATATATCTTCCTTTGCTTCATTTAGTTTGTTTTTAACCGGTTTTTCTTTTGATGATGTTGTTTATTACCCTTTTATGGTTCAATGTCTTTGGAATCAGTTTGGAGTTCCTAAAGTGTTCGAGCAGCAGCATACACACAACAGTTAATGCCACGCAAAGAACAGTGCCCATTGAGAGTGGTAGAAATAATTTGTCATTTAGTTTATGAAATTGATTCTGTGGAAATAATTGGTTTAATTGTTTTATTGGCCTCCGGAGGTTTCTCAATCAGTAAATCACATATTTGATTATCAAATGACATGAACAAAATATACAAGGGGTCATTAGAAAGATCGTCGACAGAAGAAGGGGTCGGAATAGGAGGAACACTCAAAATCTTCGAGGCCAACATCAGGGACTTCATTTTGTGAGCCTATGAGTGGGTCATCAGTGACAACTGCATCAGATAATTTAGTGAGAATAATGCGAACGTCCATGTGCAATTTCGGGTTTGCTACTGTTGAGACTGAGGGTTCATGCAAGGGTGCCTGACGAGTGTTGGCAGTAAGCTAACCAACCTCACGGGGCATTTACATCTTCAGTCGCCAGAGCTGGTCGCGAAAAGTCTGCTCCGTCAGGTCTGCATACACTGGCATGATTTGTCCCAATACTGCTTCAATAATTTGCCATTTATTCGTGGTAGTTTTGAACATACTGTTGCTTTCGCACACCCAAGATTTCAGTTTGTGCATCCACGATATTCTTGGATGGGTTCTGTGCCTCCCCCTAGGGCAAGTCCCATATCAAGTTTGGGTGGTTTTCTCCTCCTTAACGTGACCATCATCATTAAAAACAAGTTATTGAAATTTACTATGAAAACAATACTATATTTTGATCTGAAAAGGCAGAGAGTATTGGTACAAATGCTAGTTTACTCATTCCTCAACCAATGGTAGTCAATTCAGACCAAATTTTAACCAGAATTTCCGTTTTGGGTTTGCAGCGTTTTTCCATGTTTTCATTGTCGTGATTTATCTGCTCAGGAGAAAGTAAATTTTGTCATCAACGAACATGGAACGTAATACCATAGTCTCACTTCTGAACACGGTCATCAGCTACCCATGCTTTCCGTAAGAGGCGACTATGCTTGTCGTAAGAGGCGACTAACGGGATCGGGTGGTCAGACTCGCACACTTGGTTGATGCATGTCATCGTATCTCAATTGCGTGGATCGATGCTCATGATATCAGTCACTGGATTGTCTGGTCCAGACTCGATTATTTACAGACCGCCTTTATAGCTGAAATATTGCCGAGTGCGGCGTTAAACAACAAACCAACGAACTAACCACTTCTGAACACCAGGGGCGGTCGAGTAGACTAGTGGTTGAAGCGTTCGCTCGTCACGCCGAAGACCCGGGTACAAATCCCGACATGGGTACAATGTGTGTAGCCCACTTCTGGTGTCCCCCGCCATCATATTTCTGGAATATTGCTAAAAGCGGCGTTAAACCGTAGTCACTCACTCACTCACTCTGAGACCATCGTACACCTCGTACCCACCCATCGAACACACCAACCCTCCTCTCCCCGAGCGCCCCTCCCCCTCTGAGGACAAGTTTTTGTGTGACCACAGCTGCCTTTTTTCATGACCATTTTATCACCCTGATAAAATAGTACTGATAATTGTTCATGTTGAAGTCCATGAATTGCGTAAGTCATCATGACGGCGTCCGTCCGCCCTGACGCCGTGTCACATGGTGGCTGGCTGATTCTCACCTCACACATCATCCTAAGTCTGAGATAGATGCTCCATGGTCACGTGGTCCGCTCTCTGAACTCTGAATGTGTACTGGGTCTGCATACAACCATGATACCTATTCCCTGGACATTTCACCTTTATTCCCAATTATAAATTTATGAGACTTGCACTTTTAATAGTAAGGTAAAACTAAAACAAAATTGAAGTTTGTGTGAACGTAATTAATTATTGAAATTGGAAAATAATTATGAACTATTCTTTAAATAAAGTATCTGAGTTTGAAGGAGCAGTAAAGTTGCAGAAATCCTGCCCACGAACGCCATACAGCCCGATGTCGTGTCGAGATGGAAGAATCACTGGCTAGCTGCAACTCGCACGCATTTCGCAATATGTACCGAATTAATTTAGATAATTCATCATGTAAAACAAACCCTTTGCCATGTTGACAAATGTCATAAGAATATCAGAATTTGATATTTGATGAATAAAATCCATTATGCTCGGATAATGCGATGATATTTTCGATATTCAACACAATGTAGTCAGCGATTTAATCACGTCAGTAATGGTCAAGCACTTGAATTAGCAGGGAAATCAAGACAGGACAAACTTTCCAAGCCATTAGCTTTTCCACGGGTGTGGGTTAAGTTTCAAATATAAGGGAGGATGCGCGCCAATGATGGAACTGTATCTGTAGGAGAATGGCTTGTTCTGCTAATCAATCTCCCCAGCGAGTGTCCTCGTAGAGAGCGTGCCGTCCTCTCGCGGTATACCTGCCGAGCACTGGCTGCCACGCTTTCAGTATTGAACACTTTGCCTACCTTTCAGTCGCACTATACATGTGAATTGGTCGCCGGCCAACACTGATCTCAAGGCGTTATTTGCATAGCATTCAAAGGCAAGTCACGTGATCTGCCTTCATCCTCCCACTAGGAAAGAGACTATTTAGTCTCCAGTCTGCAAGGATTCCTCCATTAGGTGCACGATGTTGAGCTGGAAACTTCCCCCCGCCCGGCCCAAGGTAGGTTTCGCATGGGTACTTGTCATCACAGCTTGGGCCAGTGTCGCCAGCAGTTTAGAAGCAGGCATCACAGGTCTAGGATCAGGAGAAGACGAGGACTTATCGGCAGTTAGTGACAAGCGAGCAGCATTTAGTGCTTGGGCCGGAAAAAGAGACTTTCTTGAAAACTTTCCTGAAAGTGATTCTAAGGAAAAGAGGCCGGCGTTTAGCGCTTGGGCCGGTAAAAGAGACTATACCGAAGGCGATAAACGGGCGGCATTCAGCGCCTGGGCCGGCAAGAGAAGCTTAGGGGGTGAACTTGACAAAAGAGCTGCTTTTAATGCCTGGGCCGGGAAAAGGGGCACAGGGGGTGAACTTTTACAAGATAAGAGGGCACCCTTTAGCGTTTGGGCAGGGAAGAGAGATTTCGAAGGGAGTTTCCCCGAGGGCAAAAGGGCAGCTTTTAATGCTTGGGCAGGTAAAAGGAGTACACCGGGCGACCAAGAGTTATCTGACGATAAGAGGGCCGCCTTCTCCTCCTGGGCAGGAAAGCGGGACAGCGGGGATTCCCAGAGTGAAGCCACAGACGAGTTCGACTCCGACAAGAGGGCTGCCTTCAGCTCTTGGGCTGGCAAACGATCAGTTACCGAAGCGCGACTAAACCTAAAACTGTTGGACTGGTACCTGTCGAGAGCTCTGGCCAAGGTGATGGAGAAGCGGAAGTTTAGTGTGTGGGCAGGGAAGAGAGACCGGTACAACAACATATTTCGTCGGAGGTTCGGTCCTTGGTCCGGCTAACCAGCTTCAGGTGAGGGCATCAATAGTCAACGTATCTTGTTAATCCGTCAGTAGCATATTGTCCAGGTTCTCCGGTCTTCTTAATTTCAGCCTCTTGTTATGGCATTAACTAACACGCATCTTTAACAAAATACTCAGAAGTGATTTCTCTGGGAAGAATATTGAGAAAAAAAGGAATCAGTCTTTCACTCACGGATGACTTAAACACTGAAGGAAATATGTAACATTTCTAAATAAATGCACAGAATTGAAAGGAAATATGTAACATTTCTAAATAAATGCACAGAATTGATAGTGATGAATAGGAAACGTTTCAGAAAAGAATAAAGAATTTCATTTCTCAATAATGAACTTAAGCACGGATATTCACGCGCAACAACCTTGATGCAGTCAATTTGTACAAATTTAACATTATTTCCCGAGTATGGGTAGTCAATTCATCACAATAAAACGCTCCCAACTCGACATATGCCATCACGCATATCGGAATACAGGATTAACTGTGAAATGCTGCAATCATGTTCTGAAGTTTCACCCTTAAATATGTTTGATGAAGTCAAGAAACCTGGCGGTAGTGTCTGTAATGTAATCACATAAGATTTCACTTAGTTTTGCAGCTAGACTTAACAGGAGTCGTGTGTTTTTGCTCAATTAGTATCTAATATACAGCCGAACAGACTCGTGCGCCGTTGACAGCATAAAATATTCATTGTAGCATTTGATACATCTGAATATCTTAAAGAACTGTTGAAAGTACGAATGACTTTATGTGATAATAATAATAATATATGGAAACATTTTCTATTTTTCGACTATATGAATTAATATTTAACCTTGACTTCACTTGCAAACTTGAAGATCCGGGATAGAATAGGTCTTCAGCAACTCATGCTTGCCGTAAAAGGCGACTATGCTTGGGGTAAGAGGCGATTAACAGGATGTGGTCAGGCTCGCTGACTTGGTTGATGCATGTCATCGTATCCCAATTGCGTGGATCGATGCTCATCACTGGATTGTCTAGTCCAGACTCGATTATTTTCAGACCACCGTCATATAGCTGGAATATTGCTGAGTGCGGCGTTAAACAACAAACAAACAACCAAATGACGTCCTCTGAATGAGGGGGTGGAGGTTATATTTTCAGCTCGGTAGAATGCATTGTGAATGATCAACATACTGTTCTGAACTTGATTACGAAGATCTGTATTTCTACTTGTGCCTTACACAGTTTTAATATACCAAACAAACTATACGGAATATACCCGCTTTATAGCTAAATGGTAATGCAAGGTTAGTTAGATTGCCTCGGAAATATAGAAGAGACAAAGTAGATAAGATATTTATTGATAATAACTTCTTTATAATACTGTAATAGCGACGTTTCGGTATAGATCCTTATGTCGTTGCCTTGCATGACAACGGTATCAGGATCGATACTGAACGTTGCTATTACAGTATAATAAAGACGTTATCCATAAAATAATAGTGTCTACTTTGTCATCCGTTAACTTCCAAGAAATGCCTATCGAACAATTCAATATGGAACAGAAATGTGATAAGAATTGGAAATAAGGATTAAAAATTATATATGAGAAAACTGCAAAAGACGTTTTTCAATTACGGGTTGTGTCTTCCAGAGGTAGATAAAATCAAGTTCACACTGTGTATGGTGGTATTTTCTGTGTTGTGATTATATTCCATTACTACATACGTGATAACCGGTTGCAGCTCCAGCAACATCCGATAGCCCTTGTTCACTGATGCAAAGAATTATAAAGTGGGCGAAAAAAGCCTACAAAATATTATTCTACATAAAATACGACATTAATAATTCACTTCGCGGAAATATCACTTTTATCTGAACGGTATTTCCCCATGAAATAATCGTTAAGTATCACGCGATAAACTTCAAGAGGAAAACCTGAGGTCCGCCTTCAGTGTACTCCTGTGTGACCAACGACAGGTGCGTTTTCGCATTACGACAGGTGGGTCAGGACAGGACACGTTCGCGAACACCTGGTGTCATGACTAAACGTTGACAGTGACTCTTGACTTTTGAAATTTGGAAATGTTTTAATATATTTCTGTCGGAATAACATGTGCCCCACTAAAGTGGGTAATAGGCGACTAACGGGATCGGGTGGTCAGGCTCGCCGACTGGGTTGTTGCGGTCATATCCAAATTGCGTGGATCGATGCGCATATCAATCACTGGATTGTCTGGTCCAGACTCGATTATTTACAGACCGCCGTCATATAGCTGGAATATTGCTGAGTGCGGCGTTAAATAACAAACACTAAAGTGGATTGGATGGTCAGACTCGGTGACGTTGATGACACGTGTGGGTGGGGCGTTGTTCATCAATCACTGACTTGTCTGGTTCAGGCGCAATAATTTCGGATTCAAGTCGAATTGATATTTTTCATGTTAAAATGAAACAAAGGTTACGTTATTTGATAAACCAAGTTACTGATATCTCAGAAATAAATATCATGCGTAGAAAACAGGGATAGCAGGGTAGTCTAGTGGTAACGGCATGCGCTCGTCACACTGAGTGTGAGTGAGTTGGGTTTAACGCCGCTTTTCACAGTATTCCAGTTATATCGCGGCGTGTCAGCTTAATGTGGGAGGAAAGCCCGAAGTGATGCAGGTCTCAGACGTTTACCACTTTGGTGAAACCCACGAGCACGGGTATGGTGCTGACAAACCTAGAAACATAATCGGGGCGAACCGGGATTCGAACCCACAATCAGGTTTCTGGCGTGCCCAAGGGACGCAACTCTGCACAGCGAATCGCGGCGCCTTAGACGACTGGGCCAACCGTACCCCCCGTCACACTGAGATCCGGGTTCTGTTCTCCCTTGCGGTGAGTGAGTGAGTATGGTTTTACGCCGCTTTTAGCAATATTCCAGCAATATCACGGCGGGGGACACCAGAAATGGGCTTCACACATTGTACCCATGTCGGCCCTTGCGGTGAGTGTGCTGGAATATTGCTACAAAAGACCGCACTCCAAACCAACCCATACTGTCAACCATTACCTTCATCGTACCTAATTCTGTATACAGTAACTACGGTTATAACGAACCCAAAGGGGCCACTAATTTTAGTTCGTTATAATCGTAGTTCGTTATAGGCATATATACAGCATAACTACAGCAAATTTTAGGGACAAAAAAGTAAGTTCGTTATATCCGTCAGTTCGTTATAAGCGTGTTCGTTATAACCGTAGTTGACTGTAGTTAAATGTACATTAGGTCACATACCACTCATGAGGTAAGGTGAAATGGAGTTTCGGTGCGTTCAAAATAAACTCACGTATACGGAGACGTGAATTCCCATGTGTGGCTGTTTGTATTAGCCCGGATGTATGCCGGTTTTATATTGCCAGCTCACTGAAATACCATGCAGACGTTTAACATGAATTTACCACTCATACTGTATACTGACTGCGAGCCGACAGTCCTAGTTATCTCCCCTTAATGCCGAGTGCCAGACAGGGTAACAACAAGCACCACCGTTACCACGGTGACGGCATCGCCCCTGCCTTCCGATCACCAGACAGACTGTATACCCCCTACGTACCCCCACGGAAGCAGTAATATGCGTATATAATACTCAAATCTGTCAGTGTCTGTAAGGTATACGAAGTACATATATTAATGTAAATTTATTTGGCGAAAAATCCATTTGTCATCATCACTGATCGCAATTTCATTTTTTAGAGTAGCATTGAAGAACATTATACGTCTGAATACATCAAGTTTAACAGTGACTTAAGGCGAGAAAGCTTACCCACTACATTATTGATGTGACAGTGTCTAGGAATATGAACCTTACATATATTTTCTTTCCTGCCGCAGGGCAAATAAATACGAGCAGCCCCGACTGCATTGTAGGGAAGCTGTGCTCAGTGTCTAAGTGCGTAGGGCTAGGAATCTCAACGTCAATCATCATTTTTAAGCACCCAACTCTTGAACGAGCAGATTATTTGGCAACTTTACACATAGTTGAGTCAGTGATTGTCTGACTGCCTCAAAGATTACTCTAAGTTTGAGATGTGTCATCTCGAAAACTTGAATATATTTGGCACATATCCAAATATCGTTTTATGTAAATTTAAAAAAAATAGTTTGATGTCTGGTATATCCAAAACTTTATTCGAAAAGTTATAATTTCATATTACTTGATCGAGTTTTTTATTTATCAATCTTGACATCTGATGCTACGAAAACGCGTGCGTGAAACGTTCAACGTTTAACAGGGATACTTCACAGGAAAACCTTTCTTGGATAATAGCTCCACAGCTTGTATCCTATCCAAATGGTAATAGTAGACGTCTGTTGATTTAACATTTGGGGATATATTTACTGTTTACTTGGAAGATTGTGTGTTGGAAAACCAGCAGCCAGGACAGGTTAGCTATGGTAATATAACGAATCGGGTGTTGTTCATTCCGTACTGTAGTTAGTAACATGGGTTCCACACGCTCGCAACCCGTGAAGATCCGGGGTAGAATAAGTCTTCAGCAACCAATACTTGTAAGGCGACTAACGGGATCGGGTGGTCAGGTTTGCTGACTTGGTTGATGCATGTCATCGTATCCCAATTGCGTGGATCGATGCTCATGATGTCAATCACTGGATTGTCTGTCCAGACTCGATTATTTACAGACCGCCGTCATATTGCTGGAATATTGATGAGTGCGGCGTAAAACAACAAACAAAACAATCAAATCCACTCAGTGGCATTGTCGACATTTACGTACCTTTACAATTTGCAGCACGCAGGTGTTTCTCAGTATGATCGTGTATGTTGGGACAGACAGAGATATATACATGCTTAATGAATGCCGCTAATAGCCTTCTGCAAGTTAATGTCAGGTTTTCGATAACAGGAATGTTTAATTCAATATAACACTTCTACAGTAAGAGATAATTTTTCAAGTCGAGATCAGATTTCTGCAGCCTTAAACCCGGTGTGGAGAACAGAAGCCGTGTCTATATGTCA